CTTAGCCGAAAGCTTGGAGTTCCTTTCAGGTTCTCTCACCATAACAGCATTGCCTATCTCTAACACGACAGGTTTAGCTTTTTTATGTTGCTTAACAACCATTTCAGCGCGTGACGCCGCAAAATGTGTTCCTACTTGGCCATGAATATCCGTAAAAACACGGATTTGTTTTGCCGCGAAATCATCCATATTATAAACAGGGCATGGCTTGTCTGCAAGTACATCATAAAGCAGACGTTTGTCCGTACCATAGACAATGTAGTAGGGTGATTTGCCTGTAGAGCTATTAATCGACCCATTAATAGACGCTCCAACTTGTGGTAACCAATCCTCCCATGTGTATTGCAAATCACACACAATTGGGCGAAGTATCTCAAGGATCTTGCGATTGCTCTCTCAACAAGGCCATTAGCCTGTGGATGATAGGCTGTCACAAAACTTTGTTGTATTCCATATTGGGCACATATTTGTGCTACTAGCTGATTCTTGAATTCTAATCCATTGTCGGAGAGAAGAACCTTGGGCGTAGTATATGGACATATTAGATTCATTACTAAGGCATAGGCCACAGATTCGGCTGTTTTATCCTTCAGTGGGACTAAAACCACAAATCTAGAAAAATGATCCACACAAACTAGGACGTACGAGGATCCCTGATGACTCCTCGGACGGTCTGGTGTAGGATATTGTAGAATTGGAGCCGGTGACCTTGTAGTACCCTTATGTTGAGCACATGACAAACACTTAGCAATATGTAATTCTATATCTTTCTTCATAGTTTTCCAGAAATATTTCTTTCTGATTTCCGCCAAGCACTTCTCACGTCCTTGGTGACCTGCCTGAGGAACATCGTGGAACAACGTTATTATCGTTTTACACAACGTGTCAGGTATGACTATTTGAGTAACAATACCCTTAGACGTCTTTTTCGATAGATGAGGTATGTTATATCGTAATTCAAACTGACTGAGCGGAAGAATTAATTTAGGAAGCTTAACATCCTTTCCCGATTCTAAAGCAAAAATGACTGCTGACCATAACGGGTAGCGTCGTTGCTCATCCTCTAGTTGTGAAAGAGTGAACGTTGCTACAGGCATCACTGGTGGAATATTTCTAGACAAAGCGTCGGCGACTACATTCGCCCTTCCCGGTAAATATCTAAACTCGGGGTCAAATTCCTGAATTGTCAGATATCAGCGCGCTAATCTGCCTGATAGATTCCTGCCATGGAACAGTTCTGTTACTGCTGCATGATCCATAAACACAGTTATCTTATAACCAAATATAATGTCTTAAAACTTTTTCAGTGCCCACACAACAGCCAACGTCTCTAAATGCGTTACTGAATAACGTGTCTCGGCATCATTAAGTTTACGACTTGCAATCGCAATCACTCTAAATTTTCCTCTCGAATCCACTTGCATGAGTACAGCTCCGATTCCTAGTCCAGAAGCGTCGGTACACAGAGTGAAAGCTTGATTGTAATCAGGGAATACCAGAACAGGGGCATTGGTAAGTGCCGTCTTCAATGCCACAAAACTATTTTCGTGTTCAGCATCCCACGCAAACATTGCATTTTTCTTTAGTACCCTTGTTAAGGGTGACGCCAATTATGCATAGTTCTTAATAAAAGAACGATAATATCCAGATAAACCAAGAAAACTACGCACTCGATCAACCGATGTAGGACGTGGAAACTGAGATACACCTTTTACTTTATCATCAACTGTATGACCAAGGAAATGGATTCTGGATTTTAATAACTCACATTCTTATTGACTACTATGAGATCTCCAAATAAGTGCAGACTGTGGTACCTATCAATCCGGCAAACAGGGTGTTGATCATCCTTTGAAACGTCAGTGGGGCAATTCTGAGACCAAAAGGCATTCGCAGAAATTCAAAATGGCCCAAAGGAGTACTAGAAGCTTTATTAACGAGGCTGCCACAGAAGTGCTGTTGGGCCTTGGTACTGATGTACCTAACCTTCTCCGTTCTTTGACGTGCTCCGGTCTTCCCGGATTTCTTATAAGGATAACGACGTGCATTACGCTGATGTGTTACCTGGGGTACTCCTGCGTCCACGCTCCTAGCCCTTAGCATCATATCACACTCAGCCGTGTTGTGAGAGGTTGATTGATGGAACCCACACCACATACCTGCTGCCGGTCCAGGCACAGACGTAGTCTTTGCCGCCGCTGAGTATGTCTTAGGTGCTCCATGTGTTTGCTGAGAGCCGGTGGGGGGGATGTTTTTTCTCCTTAACTCTAACACCACCACCCTGGAACTGGTAACAATCATTGACTGTATGACCCCTCTTTTTACAAAGGGTACACACTAAAGTCCGTCGATGTTTGGTACCTGGGTAGTAATGAACTTGATGCTCCACTTTTGGCTGCATTGGTGCTACCGGTGCAGGTGTCGTAGATTGGTAAGTATGTGTAGTTAGAGGTCGAGCCGACTTGTGTGCAAGTTTATTTGCATAATCTATAATCAAGTCGGACGGTACGTACTGCACTTCCTGTGTGCAGCAATATAATGGATCATGGGCAGCCACCAGAAAACTAATGAGCTCTATCAAATTTTCCACATTGTCCTGTGACATCTTGCCATCGTCATCATACCATGGTGATCCTCGGAAAGTAGCTTTCATATCTTGCTTGACCTCACCAGCAATGAAGACAGCCCGCATCGGTGTTTCAGAGCGCACCACAAGTGTTAAACTATCAAGCCACCGAAAAATCCAATGTAAATGGCCTAAGTTGGACCCGGACTCAAAAATGCCAATGAGAGCCCTTTTGAAATAATCATATCTAGGGTCCGCCAGTCCACTCGCATTTAGATGCAGACTCACAAAGCTCTCCTGCTGGATATGAGAGCGAACGAGCGATTTCTTGTCATGATCTTCAGTAATGTGGACATTGCGCATAGTATTCTCACATGCCCTCAAGAATTGCGTTATCCTATAATTGTCTTGTCCCGTAAAATCACGAACCTGATCTCCACGCGGTATCACGTGAACAACATTAGCTGGGTTAGTAGACATATTATTGTTAGAAGTAGCCATCCTAGCAAACTTACTCCTAACTGAAGGATCTTTTAATTGGGGAGGTAATTCAAATTTTATCTGACACACTGTATTCCTGAGAAGGAGGAAGAACCTGCCCGTAATCAGGCGACGGACTATACTTGTTACCTGATCGTAGGGTTCGACGGTTTAACTCGTCAAATGATTGGTCTATTATATCCTCAATACCCCTGACAGAAATGTCGAACTGCTCTTGCGCCTGAGTTTCGGGCTCATCCACTGAACTGATCTCGGCAGTAGGGACTTTAACTTTATCCTCTACACACGAATCGCTTATATAACGCTCCGCCAATTCCTTAATGTCCCAAGACGATGACTTATAAAAACCGTCCATTAAGTGTGACGCAAATGAAATTTCTCTTGCCTCTCATTTACAGTAAACTGATATTAATTACAGTTAAAATAATTAAAGTATCATTAACAGAACTGATGAGAACTAAATACTGAAAATTATAATACGTCAGTATAAAGAGAAGAAGCAAGACACTTACAATGCTGATATAACCTACGCGATGTCCTATCAGTGTGAAGTTATGTCGTCGATTATGTAAATGTGTGTAATATTTAATGAATGACAAAATGTCTACTAACGGAGTTGGTGGGCGTCTTCAATAGAAAATGAGATCTGTCTGCTGTCTGACGCTCCTTCCACTGCACAGCTGTTCCAAGGTCAGGGTAGGTGTGTGTGTAATTCTGTCTCCGCCTGGTTGCGTAGCAACCAAGATGCCACAAGATGACGACGGGCGAGTCCACTTCACGACGGGGAATCCATTATCCACCAAAATTGTTGACTGCTGGTTTCGAAATCTGTGGATGCCTGCTCATTGACGAGATGCCGCTCCTTCTATGTGCCAAATCTTCTGAAGCCCTGTATATAAAGGACTCGCTGGGGGCACCGGGAGATTGTACAATCTTCAGTCACGACAGCCAAAACAGTCTTCTTAAACAATGGTGGAAGGTCCACGTGTTGCCAAACCTTGTAGCTATGTGACAACACTGTAAGCGCCGGTACACAGGATACTCAATGCTGAACACGCGAATTATTTGCCGCTACTCCTTGTTGCCAGACAGGGGTATTACCAACCTCCTGAAAGATATAAAGTCAACAATAACTGCTGATTCTGTCCAGGTTAATGAGGCCAGAACATCTATATTATATCGGGTTTTAGTAGCGAAATCCAATTGTCTGTTATCCATTTATTCAGGAACTTATCTACGAAAAAGTTCCAAATGTAGATCACCGTAACTTGTCACTGTAACTATGAGTGGTAAGAGGAGGACGGAGGCTATGTTAAATAGTCCTGCTAAATACGTCCGATCTGTGTGAGGGGTTGAGTAACAATGCCGGAGGGTGCTGGCTTTATAATGCTGACCTAAACAGTCACTGGGCCGCACCTCTAGGAACCTACCCATCACGTGATATGCTCATGTCACCTCATAGCCGGTGGAAAGTTACAGGGGGTGATATGATTATATAAAGACAATGTACTGCCCTGACATTTATATAAAAACTAATGGGGCTGATACAGTAGCTAAACAGCTATCTGTGCAGGTGGGGGTTGACATGCTCCGAAATCTTACGTGTGACTAGTGACAGCCCCCATATACCAAAATTTATCGTCCATGGTCACATATTGTTGTTTTAGCTACTGTACCCTTACAATCTTTAATATTATTCTAAATATAACATCATACTTTATTACCGTTGTAAAATAGAAGGGTCACACTTCCATGTAAATACACTGTATTGTCACCGTTATCTGCATGGCTTACTCCACACGACCCAAACCACTAGTTAATCAGCAGGCAACTAGTACAAACATGAGTCACGAGATGGCTCCTGATTGGTGTAAAACCATCCCCGGTTGTTGGGGGCGCCATCTATGACAAGTGATGTCTTCTCTGACTGAGGAGTCACGTCAGTTCTACTCTCACCATCATCGGCAACTTGCTCCCCCCTGTCTGCTCTGTCGTGGAGTGAGCCCTGTTCACCGCTAAATCTACGACTAGCTATTTGTAACGTGCGTTAGTACAGGTGAGTACATTATTTTTCACCCTTGCATATGTGTTTTGTGTTGATTTTGTTTTAAGAATATTATTTAAAAATCACTTGCATATTTCTCACGTCCAACTATTTATACCGGTGTTGGGTACTGTAATGTCAACCACGAGTGTAGTATCAAATATTCAATTAAGTAGATTAATGCTATAATAACTAAACCTACAGTAAAACATAACTAGAAAAGCTTACAACACAAACAGATTGTCATTTATTACATAATTGGGCATTAGTATTACAAGGTATTATAACTTAATCATTTCAATAAAAAAGCCCCTAGACACACGCAGGTAAAGAAATCATTTCAATGTGATTAAATAAAATTAAAAGTTAAAGTAAAGCAACTTAAAAACATTTACTTTCTTAATTGCTCAGTATCTGTAACATATGGGGGCCTATCTGGGAGCAAATTGTTCACTTACTGTTTGTGTTGAGTTCACTTTGTTTTATATTAATTAAATCGGTATCACTGTTTCAATTCCGAAATAAAACCTGATGTTACATGACAGTATTTAGTGGGTATTATGTAATATTTCTGGCTGTGTTGGTATTCCAAGTTATATTTATCTGCTTACACTTTTCTGATAACTTACAGTGTATTGACTTAATTTGGTTGTTTACATAGTGTTAAGTCTCCTGTAAATGCACTTGGATTCGGATGTAGTGAGTGATTTGGCTAATCATTTTAGTTGATATATCACTAATGCAGTTGTAGTGTATTAAGTAATAGTGGCCATATTCATAACAGGGTAATACTTGTAAGATACAAATAAACTAATTCTGATGTGGTTGTAGCCACGAATGTTTACATTGAGTAAGAGCCGTTTCTTTCACTTAACTTGTCAAAACTATCAATAACGAGAGTGGTCTCCTTACATGTAAGCTCTGATGTGAGTCAGTAAGCTCTTGTACGAATTTTAGTGTAATTTTGATTAACACTAATTCATCATAACCTCTAATACTTAAATTGGACCTTAGTCACACTAATGCTAAGGGATACGAAATGCTTGAACATGTGAAATTATTTCACCAAACAGCGTAAGCTTCGGGTATATTGACATTTCCGTTTTGTAATAAACGATTCCGGGTTTCTTACTAAGCATAGAGGGCGGCTGAAATCTGTGGGTAATTAGGACGTTTACTTTTGAGTTTTGAGCAGGGCATTTCTCTAAGTAGACTTGTAGCTTGTTACACTTGTCTTTCCTCATATAGTAGAGTGGATAATGGAAAAATCGTGCAAATGGTGATACATGCATGAAATTCCGCATGATCATACCCTAGGGGCTACTTGTCAAATCTGCCTGATTGGCCATTTTGAAATCCAAGATGGCGGCCATTTTTCAAGATGGCTGCCAAATTGACCTTCGAAAGATGATTTTTTTTTTTAGAAATTGATGTAGTTGGTCAATCTAAATGATCTTAGTGTCGATATGTATCTTTTCAAGAATGCTCAGATGATTTTTTCTATTTCTGATACTCTCAGATACATATATATGTCTTATTTATGACTGGTTTTATGTACTGGTTTTATGTTTTTCCAACTAGGTGAGGGTAGCATGCAGAGGGTCTCTGCATGTGAGGGAGTGATTGTCGGGCACTACCAGGGCACACTGGTGACATCACTGCAGTACAACCCAGCATGGGGTTCAGTGTCGGCTTAGAAAAAGCATGTCATGCTGCAACAGCATGAAATGCTGCTTAACCAACCCCAAATCAGTTAAGCAGCCGCATCTGAATTGACAGGATGTGCCAGCGCTGGAGAGCCGAGCCAAGGATAACGGTTTTAGTTATCTGGATGGTGTACAGATTGCATGGGACTGATGACACTGGATGATCGATCGGACTAGGTGTAGAGCAAACGGCATGAACCTGGTTGTATCCCATACAAGAAAGTGCTCATCAGGGTGGTTAAAGGATAAACCCTCGGCCCTGAAGACCAAAAATAGTTATGGACACAAAATCTACCATCAAATCATTCCTCACTGACTGGGCAAAGTTGTCTTTGTCAAGAGGATAAGAAGGAATGTCTTAAGTCTCCACATACCTGAAGTGAGTCGTCTTGTTGCTGGATATGAAGCTGCGTCAAGTGCAAAAGATGGAACCACCACCAGCAGCCGACATCATGAGCAGACCCTGAGTGCACAGAAATCTTTCTTTGAGAAGGTGGAAGCACAATCCAAGGTGTTGTGGGATATGGGCAACCCTTTCCAAGAAGAATGAGCTGACCTTTTGGTGTTAGACACAAAGAACATTGTAGATTCGGATATTGCTAAAATGGTTGGTACACACCATGACAGAGGAAAAGAGCAATTCCAGTCATTCTTAGAGGGACTAAAGAATGTTCTACCATCTAATCAAGAAAAACAAATCCCCCGTTCTTCAAACATGACCACGATGTTAGCAGTTCCAAAGAGAAGTTACTGAAAAATGACTGTCAGCTGTTCTCGCGACTCTTCATCTCCAGTCAGAACAGCCAGTATGACTTGCAAGAATTCTTCAAGCATGAGAACCAGTCGGCTCCTGCCTCCCTCAGTAACAATGGCAAGAAGCTTCATACATGTCGGAAGTCACAGCTGATTGAAATTCTTGAAGCACAAGTGAATGCTACAGAGAAAGAACCACATGGAGATGCTATCATCATAGATGGCTCAGCACTGAACAATGACCTGCCTCCATGCACCTCAAAGACATTTGATGCCCAAAGTGGTGCCAAATACAATAGGGTGGATATAGGGTTTGATGTGTACAAAAAGTCAAGTCTGAAGCCAGGTCGAAACGAGGACAGGGGATCAGGAGAAGAGTTACAGGAACCAGTAAGACTCCCAAAAACTGGAAAAGCTTTCTACGAGATGACAGAAACAAGACAGAACTATTCCATTTTCTCGCGGAGAAAATGTGTGTGATGCACAGACGATAAGCACGGTGGTTGTGGCAAAGGGAGAAGATGCCATTAGCAACTCAGAAGTCCCTAGAAGCTGTGGCTCCATGCTGCCATGAGGAAGCAGACACACGAATTTTTGTGCATGCTAGGGATGCAGCAATAGAAGGTAGCAAGTCCCTCATCAAAGCTAATGACACTGACGTGGTCGTCATAGCAGTATCTGTACTGCCATCACTACAGGAGCTTGGCCTTGATAACATGTGGATTGCCTTTGGTCAAGGAGCCAGTCATCGATGGATTCCAGTTCATGATGTAGTTTCTGCGATAGGGCCTAAGAAAACTAGTGGGATCCTATACTTTCATGCTTTCACTGGCTGTGACGTTGTGTCTGGCTTTCGTGGGAAAGGAAAGAAATATGCATGGTAGACATGGAATGTCTGTGATGTAGTTTCACCAAACTCAGCCAATGTCCAGGCAGCCCTCAAGGAACATGCAAAGCGGTCTGCCTACCAGGCTGGTATCATCTGGGCCACGCAACAATCTCGAAACCAGCAACTGGGGATGGACGCAAAAGGGCAGATACGTTGGACTACTTTTCCCCCGATTGCGACATGCTGTCAGGAGCTGACAAAATGTTCCTGTAAGAAAGACTGCAACTAGAGATGCAAATGCTTTCGCTCTGGACTTTCATGCAGAGCACTTTGCAGCTGCATATGTGAACAGCAGTAAATGCACAAAGATGTACTGTCAGGAGAAGTCACAGGAACCAGTGCTAATAGTGAATACTTTTTTAGTAAGTTTTATTTTTTATTTTTTTTACTAAAAATTATATTTTATGTAGATAAAAATGTTACAATGGACTTAAAACAATAAAAAAAATCATCTGAGCATGCTTGAAAACATACATATTAACACCAAGATCACTCGGATTGACCAACTACATCAATTTGGTGCTTGTATCACCATTTGCATGATTCTCTTGAAAAATTGCATTTAGTTGCCCCATTATTAGTAGTATTTATTTTAGTAAGAAATACTTACTGAGTGCCTTTTTACAGATTTCCATTACGATACTGGACAAAGGGCCCTATCATCCATGAATTCCAAATTGGTATTCTTATCCGGTAAGCAAAAAAAAAAAAAAAAACAGGGTCTATAATCCTTTCTTGACTATGGGTGTACTTTATATAAACTGCCAGAATGATTGATGCCCAGCCTCTTCTTGTGAGTTAAAAAAAGGGAATTCCTCTTAATCAGAAAATAAAAAGATTTCTTAGTTTTGAAAATACTTGATCAATAATCATGTTAAAATTCGATATTGCTGATTTCATAGCTAATCCTACTGTTGACAAACTCGAATGTGCAGACCTTAGGAAAGCAGACTGGAAAACTATATCTAATTGTTTTGAAATTCAAGTCTCGACAAGTTTGTGTAAAGACAGATTAAAAGAAGTAGTTGTTAAAGGATTAATCTCAATTGGGTTTTTTCTTGAAGAAACTGTTAGACTCATTACTAGTCCGTGGGATTTAAAAGAAAATTGGTAGGTTCTCCTCTTTCAACTGGGGACACCGGTGATAGTGAGTGTGGAAGCTCAAACCTTAGTTGTCCTTGAAAGAGAGAAATTGTCATTTGAACGAGAGAAATTTGAGATAGAGGTAATTGAAAGTAATGAATTGAGAGTAATTGAAATCCAAAATCAAGCCTAACGAGAAATTCAGACTCGCTTTGATTGGTCCCGTAATGTAAATTTGGTACCCATTTTTAATGAATCGGATCCTGAGTCTTCAATGCGTTTCTTTGAGCATACAGCTCACACTATAAGTGGCCCAAGGATGAGTGGATTTGTCTACTTAGAATAAACTCACTGGGAAAGCAGCACACACATTTAATAGTCTAGATGATTATTCTGATTTCGAGTTTGTCAAAGACAGATCTTGCATCCTTATTCTATAACTCCAGAATCATACCGCCAGACTATCCGAAATTTCCTTAAGCCTTCTAACATGACATACGTTCAATTTGCTATTGACAAATTTAGTAATTCTCAAATGTGACTTAAGACCACTCAAAGTAGCACTTTTGATAACCTGGTCAATCTAATGGTCTGTGAGGAATTCAAAAGATGAATTATCTTAAATATCATGGCTTATTTAGAATAAAAGGGTGAAAAAGATTTGATGAAGCAAGCACAGATGGTCGATAGATACGCCTTAGTGCACAGTTTTAAGGGGGAGAATAAGAAGCCGAATATTGTAAAGTCACCCACAGGAAAAAAACCTTGGGACTAAAAGTGATATGTCGAATCTTACAGCTAATGCTTGTAGACTTTTGACTTGTTCATACTGTCGTAAAGACGGTCATCATGTATCTCGTTGTTGGGAACCAGGATGTAAGAATTCAATATATTTTGGAGAAAAAAATTGTCAAACCTAATGTGAAGACTGATACTCAAGCTACCACCTCAAAAACTAAGTCTGTTAGTAATGTAGCCAAAGTGAACGATTCTCAGAAAGATCTTTTTCTTGATTTTATATTCAAGGGCAAAATTTCACTTTCAATGGATGGTAAAAGACTTCCTAGTAACAGACTAAGGGATATTGCAGGCGCTCAAAGTTTAATAGTACATAGTGTTGTCCCTGGAATTAGGAAAAATTATTTAGGGGAGAAAGTGCTTTTGGAAGACTTGTCCTTTTACGGGTAAACCTTGCCCAAGTTTACCTTGATTGTGACTTGTTAAAGGAAATGGTGAAGGTGGGAATGAGTGAGAAGCTGCCAGTAGCAGGTGTTACATTTCTACTGGGTAATGATCTGGCTGGTTCACTTGTTGTTCGCATCCCTTAAAGTGGTTGATGAACCGTTGACGGATAATCCTACCCAGGACTTGGAGAATGAACTTCCACAATTATTTCCTCTGTGCCGTCACTAGATCTAAAATTTTCGTTGACCTTAGCGCTGATTCTTCAAGAGTTCCCACTTTCACTTGTGATCTCTCCAGCCAGGTTATGACCAGGGACAGCTTAATTAAAGCTCAGAAAGAGGATACTTCTCGTGCTAAATTTCATCATATATCAGTACCTAAGTCAGATATTGTTATAGTCCCTTGTTTTTACCATCAAGATGATATCTTAATGAGAAAATATCGTTCAATATATTTAAAGGATGATGACTCTTGGGCTGAAGTACATCAAATAGTTGTACCATATTCTGTTAGAGTACAGCTCATAGAACTGGCTCATGATGCCTTAAATGGGCACTTGGGGATATGTAAAATCTGTAACAAACTTAGTCAGGATTTCTTCTGGCCAGGTATGAAGAAACAAGTGGCTAACTTCATCAACACTTGTCATTCTTGCCAACTAGTTGGGAAGCCCGATCGGGTTATTCCTCCCGCACGACATAACCATATTCCTGTTACGGAGGAGCCCTTTAACATATTCTGATAGATTGTGTGGGCCTACTCCCAAAAAACAAGGGAGGTAACCAATATTTGTTGATTATAATGTACCCTACAACTAGGTATCCTGAGGCATTCCCAATAAGAAACCTTAGAGCTAAAACTATTGCTGATATTTGGTTAAAATTCTTTATACAAGTAGGTATCCCCAAGGAAATTCAATCTAACCAAGGCCCTAGTGTTACATGTGACCTTTTCTCCAAGGAGTTATCGGAGTTAGGCAAAAAACACACTTTATCAATGCTTAGCAGATTTTGATTTTACACACAAACTGATTGGGTCGAAGGATTTCATGTCATGCTCTTTGCAATTAGAGAATGCCAACAAGAATTACTTGGATTCTCACTTTTGAAATGTTTTATGGTCGTCAAGTAAAAGGACCCCTTAAAATCATAAAAGAACAATGGTTCAGTCAAGTTACAGAGATTCCTAATCCGATTGTTGGTCAACATTTTGATAATCTTAAATCCAAATTAAGTAAAGTAAGACAAATTGCACTAGATAACTTAATGAAATTTCAAAGTAAGATATAGGGTATTTTATGATCGAAAGCCTAAAATCCGAAAGTTAAATTCTGGTGATGAAGTATTGCTGTATTTGCCTCTTCCAGGCTCACCCCTTAAATGTAAATACTAAGGCCCTTACAAAGTATCTCTTCTGTTAAATAAATTAAACTACGTTGTTCTAACTCCTGACCGTAAAAAGGATTCTCAACGAGTACATCTTAACTTAATGAAATTGTATCGCAGAAGGAATCCTCAGGGTGACTCGGGTGAGAGACCTGTCCTCACTAACCAGGTGTTCTCTGCTGAGGACATAGATTTGGTTGGGGAGGAGAGTCATATTATAGAAAGCAGGAAAGGAAGCTCTTATATAATAAGCAGCATTAAACTTCCCAAACTCGACCGCTCAAGAGCAGGCGGATGTTATTAAAATACTGCAAGATAACTCGGGTGTATGAAAGGATGGTCCAGGAAGATGTCATATTGTTTTCCATGATATCGAACTCTCTACTGATTCCCATCTTATACGACAGACTCCTAACCGACTCAGTTCAGAGAAGAATGCCAAGATGAAGGACGTAGTTGACTACCTGTTGGAGCAAGATCTGGTGGTAACCAACTCCTCCCCACGGGCTTCTCCTTCCCTACTGGCCCCAAAATATGGTGGTCGAGGCAAGCCTGACTATCAACCTGGCGAAGTCCCAATTCGGCGAGGCCACCATCACATACCTTGGACACATCGTGAGTCAAGAACGATGTCGGCCCCAAACTGCCAACGTCGATGCCAACCTCAACTTTGCAGTACCCACAACCCGGAAGTCCGCTATGAGATTCTTTGGAATGGCCGAGTATTATAGGAGGTACTGCAAGAATTTTGCATCTGTAGCTGCTCCGCTGACGTCTCTTCCCAGTAGGAAAGTCCCATTCCAGTGGGATTAAGCTTGCCAGGAAGGCTTTTAACCGAGTGATCCTGTTCTCAAGTCTCCAGATTTCAATAAGCCCTTTACTCTTTATGTGGACGCTTCAGGTGAGGGCTTAGGTGAAGTCCTTCTAGAACTGGATGATTCTGATGGGGTACTTCATCCAGTCTGTTATTTCTTGAGTAAGCTGAAACCTCACCAACACAACTACAGTAGAGTTTAAAAAGAAGGATTAACCCTGGTGTCTGCCCATAAGAAGTTTGAGTGTTATCTCCACCATCCCACTCATGATGTAAAGGTCTTGACAGACCATAATCCACTCATCATCGAAAAGTCAAGACACAGTAATCAATGTATTCTGCGATGGGCCCTCCTAATCCAGCCTTTTCGTGTAAAGGTCAACCACATCAGAGGATAAAACAACAACGTAGCAGATGCGTTATCCCGGGAAGCAGACCGACCTCATTGACCATCATTGTTCTGCACTGCACCTGTGACCCTTTCTACATGTCGGCTGCCCATCTCCTATGACTACAATGGACTTCGAGGGGGAGGTGTAACATAGAAGGATCACACTACCATGCATATACACTGCATTGTCATCTTTATCTGCACACGACCCAAACCACTAGTTAACCAGCAGACAACTTGTAAGAAGACTAGTCTTGAGATGGCTCCTAATTGGTGGAAAACCATCGCCGGCTGTTGGGGGCACCATCTTTGACAGGTGATGTCTACCCTGACTGGGGAGTCAATGTCAGTTTTATTCTTACTATCATCGGCTACTTATTCCCCCGCCTGCTCTGTCGTGGAGTGAGCCCGGTTGCCTGCACTGCCTGTTCACCGCGGAATCCACTGGCCAGCTATTTGTAACGTGTATTAGTACAGGTGAGTACATTATTTTTCACCTATATATATGTATGTTGTGTTGATTTTCTTTTAAGAATATTATTTAAAAATCACTTGCATTTGTTTAACGTCCTACTCTTTATACTGCGTTGGGTACTGTCGTGTCAGCCTTGAGTGTGGTATCAAATATTCAATTAAGCAAAGTAATGCTATAATAACTAAACCTACAATAAAACATAACCATAAAATTTTACAACACAAACAGATTGTCATTTGTTACGTAATTCGGCTGAGTATTACAAGGTATTATAATTAAATCATTTCAATCAAAAAGTCCCTAGACATACGCGGGTAAAGAAATCATTTAAATTTTGAGATTAAAGTAAAAGTTAAAGTA